GCGTGGGATGCCTCATTACCTACGTGTTGTGGAAATCGGCCCCGTTCCTGGCTGCAGAAGCCAAGTGCCTCGATTTAATCAACGCGCAGGGAAATAAAATACTGATGTCTCGTTCCAAAGTGGGAAAATTAAATGCACAACAGAGGAACGGTTTTAATGTTGCCACATGTAATCAGAGGCTTAAATGCAGGCAGATATTGTTATTGAGCACCAATTAATCTGATATTGAGGCAGAATGAGTGAAGAAAGAGGTACTAGCGAGTAGTTAGGTCAAGAACCTGAAGTATGAGTTGGATTTGGTAGTTTTATAAAAACGTGCAAAGAAAAAAGAAAAAAAAAAAAGCCAAGCCATTCCATTCTGCTTCTTGCTTTGACACCGTCTAAATTAAATGCAGAGTTGCACTGGCTTTGCACGTTGTTTTTTTGCTCATTTGACATTTAATACTGTTGTATCGGGAGCGCTCGTCCTCGCTGCGACGCTGCAGGAAAACGCCCAATTTAGACCAAATGTGTGAGGAACTTGAGGCGGGCGATAGCGGTGCGAGGGGCTGCGCGGGGACGGCGAGCGGGGCGCTTGGACGCTCCTCTCCCCGTAATGGGACTTGGTAACACGCACGCATAAAAAGGTTTCTCTCCATAAAACGCTCATTAAGCTGCTGCATAAACTGTATGTTAAAAGTTGATTGTAAACAACGTGGTTCTCCGGGCTTTCTGCTCTCGCTGCTGCTGCTGAAACGCCAGCACATTCAATAAATGTCATGTTATTGTATGTCTGAAGTTCAAAAAAAAAAAAAAAAAAAGGCGGGGGGGTGGGGGGGAGAGTTTAGTTGCATTCTGTAATTAAATCCAGCGGGAAGTATTTCCTGAATGGCAGGGACCTTTCACACTCTGTTACCTAATTCTTTACAGGTGATTTTTTCCCCCCTCTGCCTCCTTTTTTGGCACTAGGCAGGGGCAGTCATAGCAAAGACGGTTAGATTTCATAGCGAGAAAGCGCTCTCTGCCAGCTCGCAGGGAAAGCAGCCCAAGCAGCAGCTTGTCTTGGGGCAAGAAAAAGGCATTTTGGTCTTTTTTTAAAATTTTTTAATTTTTAATTTTTATTTTTTTTTTATTTTTCCAAAAAGCTGCAATGCAACGGCGGGAAGCGAGAGGACAGCAGTATTTCCCGCCCTGCTCGGGCGGCGGGTCGCGAGCCCTGGTGCCCGCACAAAAGGCAGCGCCCCGCGCACCGGCGGCCGCCTCTGCCCGCCGAGACCCGCGCCCGGCGCCGCAGAAAGGGCTTTCCYGGGCGAAATCCCTTGCACGAGGAGGAGCCTTTTGTGCACGGGCTGTTGTGTTCTTTTAAAATAAGTGGTCCTTTCCCCCCACCCCTCCACTGCAGCCTGCTCCCCTAAAGAGCCGCGAGCGTCGCGGTGCTGCTCGCTGCTGCAAGCAGGAGCAGTGCGATGCACGAGCTCAGCACCTCTGGGCTCAAACCCACAATTTAAGTGGCCTTCGGTGGCCTTCAGAGCTGGACGGGGAGATGCTGGCCCCTGTTTGGATAATACCTTCTGAAAAGCAAGTGCCTTGGCAAGCAAGTTAAAAACACTTATCTTCCAGTCAAATAAAGGTATAAATGTTCTCCGAGCACCCTTGGCAGTGCAAGTGTCAGCGGGTGTTATGCAGATATTTTGATGCCAATGAAGCATCGTTTCTGGGTTGACAAAGATGGGAATTTAAAGTTAATGAYGTGGTGCGGTGGTGGTCAGGAGCTTGGGTAAAAACACAGCAAATTTTCTTGCTGGTTGATAGGGAAGATTGCTTTCATTTGAAAACGTCCCAAAGCAGAAGCTGCTGTGCTCGGTATAATGCTCTCTGCCTTTCAGCTCTGCCCCTGGTGCTCGCGAGCATCAGGGTTACACCGGAGGCCCATGCACTGGTGCTCACCCTGGATGCCACCGTGCACATTCCTCTTAGCTGTGCAAAGCACCTGGCATGGCCGTTTACCTTGCACAGCATTTACTCGTCTTGCTAAGCCTTGAACCCCCTGATACATAGATATTTTGGCTTGCTTTATTTTTTGCCCTATGTCCCTGCTTTTGCTTTGCTCAGTGGCCAAGTTTTGAGGTCTCTGTCATCTCAGCAGCTCCCCCCCAGCCCAGAGAGCCTCCCCATCAGCAAAATTCTGGGGTGCATCCCCAACCTTAACACATAGTGATGAGGAAACGTCTCTTGGTASCCCATGAGGTGGCCCAGGGTGCCAGGGCAGCAGGGGACGTTTGTAGTCAGAGGGGTGGAGGATGTGGCATGGACGGAGGACGTAGGTCAGGGTGGAGATGCTTGGGGATACACGAGTCCCACAGTGAATGCCAGGCACCTTTCCCACACCCCTTGGGGTGCACGTTTGGGCTCAAGGTCCTTGGAGGTGCCAGACCCTCTGCTGATCCATACTTTTCTTCTGCTCATTTCTTCTCCACCTGGCCCAGCAACAGCATCTTAAAAGCCTTTCTAATCTTCACATCAAAAAGGTTCCTGCTCAGAAAACTACCCCTTCTGCCTTTCCTCCTTGGCTTCTTACAGGTTCTTTGCTTTTAAGTGCTGCAGGGTCATCTCTTGCTCTTCTTTCTCTGTTCTTTTGGGCATTTTCCTCGCTCTCCTGCGATGCAGATGTACACAGTCCAATCAGGCCTGTGGCTGACCAAGGTGAAACCTCTTCAGGAGGGGTTTGGATGCACAGGCACCTCTCCCTGTCCTGGTTGCCCCAAAGAAGACTTGGGAGACATACAGCCTCTTTGAAGTCAACAGCTTCTGGGTAAACCAACYCCTGCTATTTTTTCATATCAAATGATATCGAAACTTCCTATTGCCGTTCACTGCTGAACATTTGGATGCTGCTGCAGAAATAGAGCACCACAGTTCATTTCAGACTTGCAGAGGCAGCTGGATACTGAAGTTCTTCACAGCCCACATTAAAACTGGAACCAGGAAAACAGAAAGGAGAAGCTGGCTTAAAACTCAAAGTAGTATGAAAATCATCAGCCGTGTTGCTGCCAGTCTGGTGGTGGCTRTAGCTCACTGAGGAAGTAGATTTGCCCCTTGGGATGCTGCCTACTCCAAGACCCCAGGATGAATGGACCATTACAAACATCTCAAGGAAGCTGCTTTATACTGAGCAGYGAATGGCATCTCATTGACACTGACCATGGCACGAGTGGGCAAGGGACATCCCAAGGGGGAGTGTTGCTTGGTGGGACAGTGATGGACTGGTCACTACTGTGGATATCCTACGGATGCTGCTTGCCTACCCTTAACTTGCTTTGTGGTCCATGGTGCTTCATTCTGGCTGCCCAAAATGCGGCAGCTTCCTCGTGGTTTCCGCGTGGCTCCGAGATGCAGAGCTGCTCTCCCGGGAGCTGCTGCTCTCTTTGTTGTGACGGCGGAGCCCAAACCGCCCGGCTAATGAACGTGTGATCAGGAAATATCATAAAGCGGGTCAGATATTTTGCTATTATCTGTTCTTGACACAAAGTGGAAGTATCACATCTCCACCAAACCTCGCTCATTTACACTTCGCTTATCTGCAAATTCCATGATTTACATGCACAAAACAGCGATTTCTCCACATTTATTAATGCAGCTTAATAGCAGAATGCAGTAGTGAGACCTCAAATTACGCCAGCGTCATTATTGCTACAAAGTCTSCAGCCCACTTACCAGAAGATGCTTTGCTAGGAAGAATTATTGATGATTAAAACCGAGCTACACATGTCAAAATAAATTACCCAAGTGCGTTTGGAGAGGCAGCAGCCTTCCTCTTCCCAGCATGGTCTGCCTTGCTCGTTCACACCGGTGGGAGCTCGCAGGGGACTCGTGGTCACTGGTGCTGCCCACAAGATGCCCCAGGGCAGCATCCCAGGTGCTGGGGATGCTCTGGAGGTGCTGGGATGCTGCCTGGAGCAATCCGAGCTCTGCCGTGTTGGCTCACAGGGTACCAATATCCCAGTAGCTGCGGACCTGGCGGAGCTTCCTAGCGCGGCGCGGTTCCTTGCTCGGTTTCCAGGCCTCGGGTCCCCCCTGAGTTGCTGCAAATCCACACGGTGTGTCTGGTGCCGGGTTTGCGCTCGCGTCTCGGAGGCAGCTGGGAGCTGTGTGGAGCCGCGCGGGGCTCCCTGCGCGCCGCCGGCACGCCGCCGCGCTCTCCTTCTCGCCCGTGCCAGGGAATAAATTCCTGCGCCTTCCTGTTTCAGAGAGCGCAATGTAAACAAACGGTGCCGAGCGCTGAAACGTCCTGCTTTTCCTCGCAGAACTCCCCGGTGGAGAGGAGACCCTCGCGGCTGCAGGGGAGGAGATGCACCCTGGCAAATGCCTGGCTCTTCCCTGCCCCATCCCGCTCCAAGGGGTGCTGGGGGAGCCCCCAGTGCAGGCTTAGCTCTGGTGCAGCATCGCCTGGGGAGGGGGGGGGCTGATCCATAAGGATAGAGTTAAGGATTTRAGGGAAAGCTTTTGGCCTCCAGGGCTACGGGGTGATGGTCCCACCTGCACGTCTCTCCTGATGGATGCAGAGGCCTCAGCGACCCACGTGGACCCATTGGCTCTTYCCGTGTGCTCTGCAATTCCTGGTCCATTCTGCCCTTTAGGGGTTTCTCCAGCACTGGGAAGTACTTGATGGCGGAGGGATGAGTCCCGACGGCTGCATCCTAGCTCTGCAGGGCTGGGTTTAGCTTTGCCCTTGGGTGAGCTGGCCGGCTGTGTATGTGAAGAGTTTGGTTCCTTCATGCACGGTGCAAATAAGGAGGCAGATACAAGCAAAGCTTGGCTCTAAACTGCCATAATAGTGACATTTAGGGCAACATTATAGATAAAAGAAGCTTTCAAAACCAAAGCTACCATTTTGGACTAACGCAAGTGAAGGTGATTAACTCTTTAATTAAGGTCTAAGTGGCTTTTCCTGGGAGCAGGTTGCAAGGGGAGGGCATCTGAGAGCCCTTAAAATGGAYGAGCAGGTGAGAGAGGGGTAAATGGAGGAATCTCTGCTAGTATGGAAGACTGCAGGTAGGTGGTGAAGGTGGAAGGGGCTAAGAGTTGCTGCTGTCCTACAGCAGTGATGAGGAAAAACTTGGAGAGAGAGGCTTCTTTGCATAGAGGACTGGTACAAGACTGCTGAGCRCTGCTGTGGAATAGCAGCAGGCTTGAAAGCAGAGCTGGGCTTTGTGCTGTGGATGAGGTCCTTGCTCCAATGCTSATCCTCACTGCCTGCTTTGCAGGAGGCACAGCTGGCGTGGAGAGTGTTGCTGTGGAGCCTTCCCAGCTGCTCCGATGGGGATCCCGCAGCCCAGGCCATGCTTTCGCATCAGCACCTAGGGCGGTTGGTGTACTATTAATTGCAGCAGATTGCAAGTGTCTAGAGACTCTGTGTTTTGTCAGGCAAAATTGATGGCCTTGCCAGGAACACGCAGGCACTAAAGGGAAAGAGCCCTTTGCATGTGTGCTGGGCGGGAGGGAGCCAGGAGCCGGGTGATGCTCCTGGGAGCGGTGCTGTTGGCAGAGGCTGGTGGATCGAAGYGTGGTGAGAACCTCCTGGGCATCCTGAGCCCGGAGCCTGAGGGGGTCAGCCCCACCGGGCAGGATTCAGTGGGATGCCAGCRGTGCCCAGGGAGCAGCTGCACAGACAGACCCCACATCCCTGCCCTCCCTCTCCTCCAAACCCCACTTATCTCTTGGAACCAGCTGCCCTTTGTTTTTTTCCGCAGGGATTTCCAAAGAGGGGAGGCCAGGGCACCTCCCCTCGGAGCTGACGTTCTCCTGTTGTGCAGCCTTTCCCAGCAACTCCCGCTGCTTTGCCGGGATCCTGTTGGGATGGAGCGCGGGGTGGACACTTGTTGGGCTTAGCTGCTTTGGCAACTTTGTCCACCTTGCAGAGCTGCAGCTGGTGAGACCTCGCAGAGCAGCGGATTAATTCCTTGTTCTTTGTGTCCTTCAACAYTTATTTTTTAGGCATGTCAGATGTGTGAGTTTGTGTCCTGTCCCCTGCCCCCCTCTTTTTTAATAACTTTTATTTCATTTCGAGCTGTTTTGAAGTGATAGGTACCTTTATAGGTAGCGGCTCCTTACRCTCTCTAAGTCCGTCTATCAAAGGCAGGATTTGCTGCTGTTGTTTTTCTATTAGGGAGGAATTACACTAAGCCTGTAGCAGACATTTTGTGTTACCATGGCAGCCCATATTTCCTACAGGGTTGTGACCTCTAATGACTACAGTGGAAAGCTAGGAAAAATGGGGACTCTTTGAAGATTAGTAAATAAATGCATACTTATGCAAACTATCCCAGAGATGGCTGAACTAGAGTGAGGGAATGGCACAATTTTTAATGCTGAGTAAATGGTTATATGTAAATACCTGTGCGTATTCCTTATTTATTTTAAWTCACCTTTCATTTCATGGTGCCTTTAAAAGCCTGTTTTGTTTCCATCAAAGTGTGAGACCCAAGATGCTTCCTGCGAGGGGCCCATATTATTTTTCGTGTAATGAAACAGAAATGCGGAGTTCAGAATTTCAGCGAAGATGTTTCTTGCAGTCTAAATCATTCTTTTTTTATAGCCTTTTCAAATATTATTGCCATCGTGATTGAATTTTCAGTGTTCTTTTAGTTCATCATTGCTAGATAAAATAAGGCAGCAGAATGTACTGAACTTTTAAACAGACATCTCAGTGGGAGCTGTCTTTATTCTTTTAAAATAGCGTAGTAAAAAAAGTCTCTGTTTTTAAAAAGGATAGATTGATTTTTACATAAGGGATTTAGCGGAAAGGAAAAACTGCATCTATCGACTAGTACACAGGACTAGTTTTGGGCCGTTAAAATACCTACAGAGGTATTTTATGGGGTTTGTTTGTGAATTTTAAATGATCCCATATTGTTGTATGCAGAGATCTCCTAAAGTGCACAAAGCTCCCATAAACGTGCCGGTGCACCGTGCATCTTCGGTTAATGACCCTCTCCATGTAAGCACAGCTGTTGCCGTGTTAAAAATAAAACTAGCAAAATGTGCCTCTGCTTCCCGCATCCTCAGCTCACATTTCTGTGAGTTTTGGCATTTTTTCCGCCTTCAATGAGTAACTTTCTAGCCGCTGGCAGCCCAGATACGGCACAAAACTCCCTCCTGGACGCTGCCGGCAGAAGGGGAACGGAGCAGGGTCCTGCAAAGACAAAACCAGAAGCCAAATCCCAAGCTGTTTCCTGCTGTGTCCAGAATACTGGTGTCATGTAGCCTTGCAGGCAGTTCCCTCRGGGTTCTGTCCACAGGTTTCTGCCCCTTTCAGTTGCAACAACTGGGGATCCCTGATCTGTTTTTAGGAAGGCGTCCTGGGCTGCAGAGCTGGCTGTATCCTGGCTGCTCTGTGGGGCCTGGTCTTAGGCCTGGTCTTATATCGCTGCTGTGAGACAAGGTTCAGGCTATTCTATGCCTTAGGTAAGCACTGGGAGTCTTGCACCGGGAGGTTTGTATTGGAAAGCAGCAGGAGACTTTGGGCTAAAACGCGTCATGTTTGAAAAAGAAGACTTACCATTCTTCTACCATTTTTTTCTCTATTTTTTTTCTTGTTGTATTTAAATACTGAATATTGCTGCCAGCAATGTCATACTCATAGTCTTGAGAATATTAGTGCCACAGTGATTTAACACGCTGGAAATGCTTTTCTCYGAAAGTTCTGCGATTCGAGGCTTGAGCTGCAGCACAAGGTGCTTTGCTGCTCCCAAGGCAGCTTAGCCTAGGGGAGCAGCAGGGACTGTCCTGCAGGGTGGCAGGTGCAGGAGCTGCTCTGCCTTCCACTGCATGGAGAACTCGTGGAGATTGGGGGCAAATAGGGCAAAAGTAGTAGTTTGGTCCCTCTGCGTGTGATTTTCAGCTGCACTGATGTTACAGGTAAAGCTTGCAGGCTTTTTCTAGGGATATGGGACACCTAGACATCACTTTGGCTCGTTCGCGGTACTGATTACATGTGTTATTAATTTTCCTGAAGCTAGGAGACTTAGTTCAAAATGGGATTCTTCTGATGTCACTTATCCCCCTTTTCTTAGGCAACTTAATGAAGTACCCACGAGCTATACTATTTTTACACTCTTCTTACTTTTCTTGGTAGCTTTGAGCTCTTGGTGRTTTTTAGATGGGCCCTAAGTGACTCCTGGGGACATACCCTCTCCCTGCATCTCTTCCTTTCTCATATCAGTAAGAAATATTCACAGGAGCAGGGACTGGATTTGGCTATCCAGGCTCCTGYCCTGGTCACCTGCAGCAATCCAGCTTCTCTTGCTCCCTGCCTGGATTTCAGTGCTTCCCATCCCTCCTGCAACACAAAGATCTGCTTGCAAATAGCATCACCCCAAGTATAAGGTTGGCACAAATCTGCTTGTACCTGAAATCCTRCATTGGTTTCCTTGGCTCTCACAGGTCCTGTTCCATTTTTTTAATATCCCCAAATGCCCCAAGGGGGATTTGAGTGTGTGGCTGCCATCCAGAAGGTGCAAGTTGCTGCCTCAGCCATGAAGCATTTCTTTCCCTGCACCCATCCTTGAATGCATATTTTCCAGCCTGAACTATTCAGCAAWTCTGACCCAGACTAGCTAATAGTTCCAGGGTGACCAAAACTGCCTCTCTGATGAATTTACGATTCAGCTGAAAATTCTTGGTTTAACTGAAGTGCAAACATAGAGGGGAAGCTGGTGGTTAAGGCAGCAGGGAGAAAGAGAGGAAAATAAAACCCGTGGGGAAAGCTGGGGAGACTGAAACAGGATCCTGAGACAAGCTGCAGAGCTGGGATGGTCCTTTGGGAAAGGAACCACCATCTGCAGGGATCTCCCTTATGGAAGAGCCAACCCTCTGCTTGTACATGGTGCTTGAGGGCTCTGGCTAAGGGAGACTTCCCACCACTCCTTTCTGGGCTCTCATGAAACTCTTCTGAACTTTGGTTTGTTGTTGACTTTTCTTGTTATTTGGGGGAAATTTTTCACTATTTCACTAGAAAATTTCACTATTAGTGAAACAATTTCACTAGTACTAGCAGAATTTTTTCATCCTTACTCATTGAAGGTCAGAGCTAAGGCTCTGTGAAGATTATGGGTAGCACACATTTTTGAGAGAGGAAATGGAGTGATTTTACATCTGTTTTCATGAAGCAGCTCTGAAACATTGCTGGCTGTGGAGCTGAGCAGACAGACCCATCTGTGACTTCCCAGCGCCGACACTGCTGTCTCCGGCACCTTGCTCCTGGCTCTACGTGATTCCCTTGGTTTCCTTGCTGAGCTGGCACMGGTCAGAAGTGTGATGGGACTGGCAGGAGAGCAAAGCAAGGATTTGGTGGAAATGCCATGACATCTGCACAGGTCTTTCCCAATCTCTGCTAGATGAGAGCCTGCAAATTGAAGGTAAAATAGCCAATACTTAACAGAAGCCTGCGAACACCCACTGCGCCAGTTAGCTGAGTGATGCCAAAAGACACCAAAGTGGCACCTTTCACATTTGACTGGGAAATTTCTGCCTTGCTTTCCCCCTCCTGATCATGAGCTGAGCTCACTCTCCAGGACAGCATCTTGATTGGTGCCTGCCTTTTTTAAAAGGCAGAATAGGAAAAGCCTATCCATAGTCTTTCCTATGCAAAAATCCAAACTGAGCCACACCATTTGTGCTAAATCTCTTGTGTTAGAAATGGTGGTCATGGAGGTGATTCCAAACAGGATCAGGAGTTTGAATGAGGAATATACATGCTGGTTTTGTTTTGTTTTTGCAAGCCTTAAATACAAAGGAAATTGGAGAAGAAGGATACCTACAACTAAGGCTATCCCCAAACAGATTATTGTTCGATTATTAATTTTCCATGAGATGTCCTGTGACAGCAGACACAAGCCCTTTGCTGCTGCTGTTGCTTATGGCCACTCTGAGCAGTTACCAAGTGAGCAAGCAAGCCACATTGCTCAGCCCAAATTAGAAGGGTTTGGTTTTGTTTTTAAAGACCAAATGTAAATGCAGTGTCCCTTATTGCCCCGAGCACAGAGGAGACCRCAGTGCAGCTGCGACAACGGTTTCTGCTTTCCAAAGGACTGCAATGACTACGGAGAGCAAGCCTGCAAACGCYGACAGGAGTTAGGCGCTTCATTGCTATTTGAGGCTTTGAAAAATCTCTCTGTGGTTTAGCCAAGAAAACTCCTGTGCCAATCTTGCAGAAGTTTAAAAAGCCTGTCTGAGTCTCGATGCTATGCGTGGAAAACTCAGCATAACTGGGGACTTACGCTGCTGGGAGGACAAATCTATAAATCTCTTTAAAGCAAACGGGGAGGTGGATTAAGAATTAGCTTGAAAGCAATAAATATGCATAAATATATATATTTATATACACATTGATACACATGTTGTATCTACTTTGCACCCCAATTATCTTAGCCTCGTAGGAAATCTGGGAGCAGGTCAGGATGGTAAAACCCTGCCAGATGTTTGTGAGCCCTGGTACAGCTGWAGCACCATTGCCAGCAGGCTGCCAAGCATCGCTGTGCCCTCCTGCAGTCCTCTCCTTGGGAAAGTTCAGACAATTTATGTTGCTTTTCAAAGAAACATTTCAAAACCCAAGATGGGAAATGCAATAATTCAGAGAGAAATGTCTGCAGTGTTTCAACCCAGATGGTTGCACGGATGTGAGGCCRGTCTAGGGACCTTTCCTAGCTGGGCTCGCTCTCGAGATGCACCTTGTGCCTGTTGTTGGTGTTGGGTTGCGACTCGTTTGCTTTACGACTCTGAAACTTGCTGCTTTGTCAGGTGTCCTTGTCTGAAAATCAAATATATATGCCCAGTGTGCTTTTATCTTGTTAACTAAACACAAATAACGTGTCTCTTCACTTTGAAAGCTTTCAACCCTCTCCCTTTCATCTCTGCCTGCATTGTTCTTCACCAGCCTGCCAGTGGAGTATTAAATGGTTTCTCTCTTTCCTTCATCCTCTGCCCATAATTCTCAGTGATTTTTCACTGGGCATCACTTTCCAAAGCGCCTTTGTGAATTTGGAGCCTGGCAGTGTTGGCTGTTGATATGATTTGGGTTTCTGAAGTAACGGGGATACGTCTACAAAGTGTTTCCCCTCCCTGTTCTATGACTCTTTGCTTATTTAATCATATTATGAACAAATTCAGMCCTTACCTGAAGCTGAAAATACTTATACTGAAATATACCTGAAATACTTAGGAATTATGCATAACATTTTCTTCTTGCTGGAGTATTTTGGTGTTCATGTTTGCCTTTGTACATCTGTATTGCTGATGTCCATGACTTTTCCCATTGTGTTGGGCAGTCATTTTTCCCCATTCGTTCTCCATAAACAGCTAAGTTCTGGGTAATGTTTTGTTGGTAAAACCATATTTTTTAATGATTACAAAAGGCATTGCCACTTTAAGGCTTGAGTATGAGCTAGATTAGAGGCAATAGCCAGAAGCGCAGGCCCTGTGCAAGGATCCCGCTTTTCAGCAATCTYTTCAGGCAGAGGTTATTAACATGAGTACTGCATAGCTGAGTGTCAAACGTGGACAGAAGTATTTGTAACCAAGACGCTAGCTGGAATGATGTTATGGAATTCCTGCTATGCGGAGACACTAAAATATGGTTTAAATTAAAACTGAGGCCAAGCGTGTTATTTACTTGATGAGGTTTGCTCCACTCCTCCTCTTGGGATACCTAACACAGGCTGCAATTTCTCTTCCTTTCTGTCTGTCTGTCTTTTTCTTTTTTTTTTTGAATTCCTCTGATATGACTGGTGTCCTCTAAATTGATTCTCAGTATTTGAAATGCATCTCGGTTTAGCTGTCATTGTCCATGTCAAAAATGCAGTCATGTAGTTTCTGTTCCTTGTTTGGTCCTGTGCATTTCTTCTAAATGGGAAAAGGATACAAGGGAATGACCGGGGAGCTCAGCCTGCTGTGGAGATGCAGCTCAGAGAGGAAAGCAGGGGCTGGGCCAGCACAGCCTTCCAGGAGGCATCACCAGTCCCAGAGAGGACTGACTGGTGGGGAGTTCTTCACTTGAATGCAGGACTTGGATTGAATTTTCTCTCCTCACAAATGCCTGTGGTTATGGGGTATTTGTTAAGTGACCATGGTAGTAAAAAGTGTAGTTGCATTTCTGTCTGGCTTGTTTAGAAAGATTCTTTTTAAGGTCATGACTGGAGTTCCCCTCCCTTAAGGATGAGGGTATTTTTCCAGTCTACMACTATGTTAAACTTGATGTCTGAGCTCTCCTTGCACAGGGCATCTCAGGCAGAGATGGGTGAACAGGAGGTGAGGACCATGGCTACAAGTAGACAAGGGCATCTTTGTGATTTACTGCACTTTGATGGTGTGCAATAACTTTAGCTGTRTGTGATATCCAAGGATCTTGCTGAATTCACTCTAATGCACTATATTTGTAGGAGATGTTCCTAGGATTTCCAAGTATCTCTTCCTTTCAAATTCTGTCCTGTCAAAAATCAGAGGTGGAGGAATAGGTCATGTCCATAACCTTAGCTGTCTTGGAGCTCTAACTTTGCCTAATGTCAGAGCAAAGAGTTACTTCTCTTCTTTCAAAAGTTATCAAGTAAGGACACATTGACATGTTAAAAGTTTTATGGCACGCTAGTTGTAGGTTATATTTTACATTTTTCTCAGAAAATTGTGCCAGTTCCTGTCTGTGTGAAGCCGTTGTGCAGCAGTGTTCATGAACTTACTGTGCTGAATTTCTCCTGGCACACTATTAGGCTTTGTTTTGCATGGCACTGCATACCCTTCCATTTTCTGGGTTCAGACTGACCAAGGGAAAATATATGGCTTTATTCTTCATGTAGGTAAGGAAAAAAGAAAAAACAGATTTGATTTGAAAGCATGGGAATATTCAAAAGTGTTAGACTTTGATTTTATCAAATCACATGGCTTGTAAACAGAAATTATCAGTCTTTTCTGTAGTTACAGGACAGAGAAAAGTCTATTCAAGATGTAAATTAATTTTGATTACCCTGGGGTACAAACGGGACACGATACGTAAGGATTCTCTTGGCCAGCCTGGAGTCTTCTCAGACATTCCAGAGCAAACTGATGGAGAAGCCTGACTGAAGGCTTCATCAAACAGCCTACAAATTAGGGGGTTCTGCAGGTTTTAATTTCAGACACCTGGAAAAGGTCACAGAAGGGAATCCAAAATGCATGACACTGTATTTCTAGGTGACAAAATGGATGAGGTTTGAGACTGCAGAGCTGAGATGCTCGGGATAAGTCACCCTAAACGAACAAGATGACTTTGTAGTTCATGCAAGGGAAAGATGCTTGGGGAGGGAGAATTTTTCCTAAAAATCAGACTGTGACAGAGGTTGGAAAAACAAGTCGAAAAACTCAAAAGTAATGGTTGTATGGTTAGATGTATCTATGTGGAAGCCTCCTCMTCAGGTGGAGGTCGCGGTTAGTTTGGGTTTGGAAGCGCAGTTAGGATGTTTGGCACATTTTGCTTGTGGCTAATTCTGTTGGGGCTGTACTSTGGATAGGTTAGAAAATGCAGCAGATGGGGCCAGCTTCAGCCCCTCTCTGGGCCAAACTYGGCCAAGGGTAACGCAGGTACCCCAAAGCCCTGCCCTCAACCAGTCACCAAGATCCAAACCCCCTGTTTGCCCCTCCCTGGGTATGATGCATTGTAGAAGGGCGTCCCAATATTTTGCTTCCAAAGCACTGGAAACCCCAGTTGCACAGGGGTCCCATTGGGCCCCCCATTTGACTTGTTTTTTGGTAGGGTCTCAGCTGCACTGCAGGCAGCAGTGGGGTGTTGTGCACAGCAAGGGACTGTCTCCCCAGTGCCCTGCTCTGTTTGTGCGCCCTCCGCAGTTCCCCATCAGCAGGTAGGCTACAAACTTGGAATTTGTTTTTTAAACCAGCTGGGCTGTGGAATATACATTTCCCCTATCTTTTAATGATGTTCCTCGGCCCGTGATTGCCAATTATCAGTTAATAAAGAAGCTCTCAGAATTAGGTCAGAATAGTGTTTCTTTTTTATTTCATTCTTTTCTTTTCACACRCCGGCAAGCACAGCAGGTATCTCTTCTGGCAGCGCTGTTTGCAGTGGAGGTGACAAACCCACACCTTTAAGAACAAGGAAGTGCTTGTCGTGGAGGGCAAATCTGTACCAAGGGACAAAGCCTGATTTCAAATAACTTACTCTGGAAGGAATTCAGAATTATTATCAGGGAGACCAGAGAGAAGAAAAATAAATAAAAATCTTTCYCTGAAAAACTAAATCTTGTTTCCAA